CGAGGGTCCACTTCCCCACGCATGGTGGCCTTCTCCAGGGACTGGCCTCTCCTGACAGGTCCAAAGTAGGTGAGACAAAGTCTCACCACCCTTGCTTCTAAGGAGCATGCTGGCAGTGCTTCTTCCAAGACAGATCTGTTTGTTCTTCGGGCAGCTCATGGGACTTCCAATATCCTTGACAACATCGTAGTTCAAATGAATTGATTGTTCTTCAGTCTTCCTCATTCCTTGTCCAGCTTCCAAATGTATGTGAGGCGATGGGAATACTGTGGCTTGGATCAGGCCCACCTTAGTCCCCAAGTCACCTCCTTGCTTTTCAATGCTTTAAAGAGGTCTTGTGCAGCAGATTTGCCCGATGCAATGCATCCATTGATCTCTTGGTTGCTGCTTCCGTGAGCATTGATGATGGATCCCAGCAAGATGAAATCCTTGACAACTTCAATCCCTACTCCAGTTTATTATGCTATTACCTATTGGTTCAGATGTGAGGATTTTTGTTTCCTTTGCAGTGAGTTGTAATTCATACGAAAGGCTGCAGTCCTTGAATCTCAGCAGCAAGTGGTTCAAATTCTCCTCACTTTCAGCTAACAAAGTTGTAAGATTTTCATGTTGCAGACTGGAGACAAGTCTTCCTCCAATCCCGATGCCTCCTTCTTCTTCATGTGATCCAGTTTCTCTGATTATATGAAGTCCTACTGCTTATTATCTGATTATAATGCAGCACCAGAGTGTGAACAATCAACTATCTGAGATCAAAAGGGCAGCATTTGCCCAGGGATAAAGCTAAGAATTCAGGAAAGGAAAGGGAGAGAGGCTGGATGGGGCTTGCGTTAATAATGATGATGCATCCACCTGGTTCCTTTTTATTTTATTTCAACTCTTTCTTGGGATGTCGGTGAAGATTTACAGAGCCGGTTTCATCAGCTTTACCTTAAACGCATTATACACCATTGGCTTCAACTCATCCATTTCCGGCCTCGAGCATTCCCTGCTTATCCCACTTCCTCCCCGTGTGTCCTGTTTCCATTTCTCCGTCTTATCTAATCCCGCGTCCGGGGGTGACTGCTCCCCGCCTGATCTTCAACAATTGATGATTCTAATATGACTATAGTGTTGGCGTCAGTGTTGCTTTATGAGCTCTGAGCGGTGTATCCCATTGTCTTAGCGCTGCTACAGGGGAAATACACCACAGACATTGATCTTCCCACAGTTCAGGAGGCAGCTCTGGGGGCAGGGATTCTTCCTGCCCCAGCACTGTCTCTTCAGCTCCTCCGCTGGCTTCTTGGAGAACTCCTGTGTGTCTGGGCATCTCTGTCCCCTCATCTCTGCTCTGCTCCGTAGTCTAACCTCTTTTGTATCTCAGAAGAGGTGGCCTGAAGATACACCCCCTGCACTCAACCTGCCTCATTCACATAACTGAAGCAGCCCAGCCCCAAGGGGGATCCTAACCACAGGGGTAGACGTCAGAACGTTTGGGTGGACATAACTCAGTCCACAACACACATGAATGCAAGCGGTTCATAAAAGAGAAATTGTATGTGGGAGGGTGGGGGAGTATCTGTACTTTCTGTGCACATTTTCTGAAAAGCTAAACCTAAGTACTAAAAAAAAAAAGAACTTGACAAATTGGAATCCTCTTAAGAGTTCATATGCTTTACGGCCTCTTTCGTCCCCTGGGAATTCAGACATCACTCTCTATCTATTGTCCAAGTTCATTTTGAAATAGCTCATTTCCCATAGTTTTAGGAACTTGGTGTGAAGGGGCAATTCAGACGTCAGCAATACTTTGGACAGTGAAGTTTTCAATACATTTGCTGCCTCCTCCGTTGGCATTCCGAAAACAAGCTCACAGCTTACTACTTGTGAGAAATACAGGCTCTCGTTGGAATCCCACCTCTATTCCTTATTCTAGGCACGTTTTCCCAGGCAATCCAACCCCTGCTGGGGCTATTGAACTTAAATCTCTCTGTGAAGAAGTAATGGGCTCACCACTGGTTTGGGGGGTTCCAACTGCCATCAAATCATAGAACGGATACGGAGCTCTGAACCCTTTGGGGTCATGTTTCCCTTTGAGAAACCGATGCAAAAGTATGGACTCTCTTGAGAAAGCTGCACACCCTCATATTTGGTACCTACGCCCAGTAATCTGAGTGATTTAGAGCTGCAACACACACACACACACACACACACACACACACCTTTTCTGAATCAATCAATTAATTAATTAGCCTGCTCCCGCCCCCGGCCCCTCATCTTTTCACTTGAGCCCCGCAGTGTTAGGCAGGGGCTGAGTCAGTGCCATGTGGTCATCTTCTCCCCAACATGCTGGTGACATTGGTGGACAGTCATCAACAACTGCGCTCAGGAGCCACCTTCTTGCTGAGCGACTTCCAGAGACCTCCGTCAGACTCAAACGAGGAGGCAGATGGTGGTGGTGGTGGTGGGGAGTCTGCCTCAGGCAATCACGGCAGCAATTTGAAGATGCCGTGGGCTGCAGGGAACCCGGATTGACAGCGGCCACAGCAATGGGCTCAGCCAGAGCAACTGTGAAGCTGGGGCAGGACCAGGCTGTCTCCTTCCGGTGCACGTAAGGTCTCCAGGCGTGGAAACCACTGTGACAGGACTTACCTGTCTGCAGGTCTTGGGTTAGACCCACCTCCCTCTGGGCTTTTCCTGATGTCCCAAAGTCTGTTAGGAGCCTCTTCTCTGCGCCCCTCGTTAGGCCTGTCCTGTTATCATCGAGTCCTGTCTCCTGACGGATTGATTGCATGTTCCAGAAGGGTCGGGGCCATGTACTTCTTAGAATCCCACCTTACCCGACCCACAGCACAGTGCCTGGCCCGCATAGCATGATCGATTCGAGCTCAGCGAGTCAATAAGCGAGTAATTGAATCCTTCAGTGCACGCTTCTCACCTCTGACAGTTGGGGGTGGGTCGTTCTTTGTTGGGGAGGGGGGATTGTCTGCATATTGTAGGGTTTTAAGGGGCCCCCTGGCTTCTACCCATTCAATGTCAGTAGCGCTACACACTCAAGACACCACAAACTCAAGTCACAACTAAAACGTCTCCAGAAGTTGCTTGGTGGCCCCCTGGACTGGGGTGGGGGGAGGGGGGCTGCTTGGCTAGGGAACCACTGCTTGAATGAATGAGTGTTGGTTTGGGTGGCCCTTCACCCATCTTGCGTCTGAGTCAGGGAGCGAGGCTCAGATCGTCAGTCAGTGAACACGGATGAAATGCGGAAGCAGAAACTCAGAAAGGAGGGCTGATCACTTGTAAGTCCCCAGAAAATGCCACTGTCGTTTGGTCCAGGAGCCCTGAGGGGCGGTGTCCTCCCCTTGCCATTCCAGAGGGAGACCACAAGAGGGTGCTCCAACAAGTCACAGCTGAGGTGGTGCAGGGGCTCTGAGTTTGGGAGCTTAGGGGGAGCCCTCTCCCCCTGTCTGAGGTCAGCTGAAGCCAGGCTCCCGGGTGTCGGGAGAATTCAGCCCACCCACTCTGCTAAAGAAGACGGCTCTCTGGGGGTTTGTGGGGAGAAGGAAAGGATCCCCCACAAATCATCACAGGTCCAGTAGGCGCAATTGTACAGCAATAATAAGTAAAGATTATAGTAAAGTCATAGAGAGAATGAGAGGTAGAAGAGAGTCAAGTAATGGAGTCAGACACAATTCATGGTAGCATTGCTCACCTCAGCCCTGCTTGGTGGTCCACGTGGTGGGAGCCCAGCCACGAGAGCAAGAGAGAGCCCCCAGGTCCGAGGACCAGGGAGAGCTTTTCTTTATTGCTAACCAAGTGTTATATCTCTTTAGGGGGACATGATTACAGGTAACCACACGTCACAGGAA